GGTTATTTTCAAGAGGTCAGGCTTGTGTGTTAATATAAAAAAAATTTTGTGACAAAATGTACATAATTTTAGATAATTCTAAAAAAAAAACTATGAAAGTATGCTTCTTGTTCTGGATTTTTTTTTTTAATTTACTTTGTTTTGTTTTTTTTCTTTGCTTCTTACTCGAGGAAAAAAGAACATATTCAAAACGTACTACCACTGTCCGAAGTGTGATTTGATTCTACTCTGTAATACGGTTTTGTAACTACATACCAGTGTGTTGTCATGCAGTAATCATTGTAGGCTTTAAGAAAAAAAAAAGATAAATGTATTTTTAATGAAGGAGTAATGTGAGCTTGGATCCATTGGAAGAAGCACTATGGGATCTTGAGTCATAGCCGTAAGCTAGCTGGAGTTCATAATACATTGGATCATAATACAGTGTGAACGTAGTGTGTGTTTTCTCCACACTGCCATGGTGCTGATTGTTGGTTCAAACTGACCCACGGAGCCTTCAGCTGTGAAAGGCAAGTGTGCTCTGCTGTACTGGTGGTTTCTCGTCATTATCCATCATCATGTGAACTGCTAAATTCTTTAGAGCTTTTTTTTTTCCTTAATGACATTTTTTAGGACACTTCACTCCTTGTCTGAAAACCAAACATGAAACCCATAGGCGTTTGTGTGAACTTCTGTAACACTTATAATAAAAGAACGTTTGTGACACTTGCTACATTATTTCCTGTTGGCCAACTGTCTGTCATTACCCAAGGCTGGTGTATCAAAAAGCATTAAGTTGTTTGAAAAGCCTTTTTTTTTTCACTTCCAGGGGGGGCACCAATTGTCAAATGACTAATGTCAGGATGTCTTGAAATGTAACAGCTCATGAGACGCATATGGCATTGGGAACCTGGGGTGTTTAAAATGGTCTCTAGAGTGACGTTTGCTTCCTGATTCTAATAATAATAAAATTATGAAAATCAATCACCATGATTCTTGGAAACACTTGCCAATCACCTGGTTGGGTCTTTTCCTATCTGTAAGGCAGGAGGTTGTTTTATTTATTACATTCTGTTTTTTTTTTTACATTCTGTATCAAATAATTGGTAGGATTGCAGCACATAGACATTTTTTTAACACCACACCGGGGTTGTAGCCAAAGTTTATTTTAAATTGTAGAGGTACGCCTGGTTAAGTCAGGAAAGTGAGTACGCAAGCGTTATGTCTCCTAATGAGAATGATAATTAACCTCATTATCACAAACAGTGAGGGGAAAAACACATTTTTTTCAATTTTAAACAACACACAATTGCTTTGGTGTCCTTGCATTTAACTGCTGAATTGCTGATGGCACCATGGCGTGTATAGGCTAATTAACCAGAGGCGTACCTTTTACAACACTAACTGTAGACATCTAGGGGGACTGTTGAAGATTGCAATTATCTCATTGTAGACCAATGACTCTGCTAAGTCCTCTTATTTTTTATTTTTTTTATTTTTATTTTTTTTTACAACACTAACACTTAAGACTGAAATTTGTTTCCTTGCCAGGAGTACTGCGCTAGGTAGGAACCAGCATATCTTACGTAATTTACCCCATTCATTTGCCAAAAAGAAAGCATCAGGAGCAACTATACTCAATTACACCAACACATTTTACCAATAACATCATTTAAACAGTATATTTTCTGAGATATTATAGTATATTGGCAACAGTGCAACATATGGACCATTTGGTTCCTTTTTGTTTTTTGTGGCCATCAGCAATCTAGGATGGGCTTGATATTCACTTTAGGGTGGCCCAGGCCCACTTCCTTGTGATTACACCCATGCTCATATCAGTATCTACTTTTTTTTTCAAGTTTGTAAATATCATGGTTGACTGTTGAATGTTGTGATTATCTCGTCCTAAACCAAGGACTCAGGACTTGAAAAAAATGCACACTGAAAATGGTTTACTTGCTATGACCATGCATTAACAGTATGAGCCACAAATTAGTTTGTTACTTTTCTGCTTGCTTGGTTTGGTTTGGTATTGATTTTGGGTATGGTTTGGTTTATATTTTGGGTTTAGTTTGGTTTGGTTTTAGAACCATCATAAACATGGCCTGACCTGGGCTTCAAATTTAAACAGCTCAGCCGCCGCTCATGGCCTCACCCATGCTTCACAGGGTATCCACTTTTGTTACCAGAAGATGTAGTCATAATGTCATAGCAGCAGTTTTATTCTAGGGAAGAGAAACTGGTTATAAGTTGGTAGGCTAGTTAGCATTAAATCTATCTTAGGGATGTCACTATAAAAGGGATAAAACCTAATAGCATGCAAAAGAGGGTAGGGGCTAATTTACCAGAGACTAATTCCCCAAACACCTCATTATAATCCAGCGACATTGATAATTCCATTCCGCTGATAAAATTTAGGACATGACCACATGTAAACTGTTACGTAGCTAAGTACTGTGCCAGCCTGACACTAACACAACATTGGTAGTTACAAAAAAAAAAACAGATTAAATCTCATAAATGACTACATTTTGCAACATTTAAATTGCCAATGCAGAGATATATGCAGCTAATCAAGTTTTTTTGAGCCAGCAGAAACCTTTGAGGGTCCTGGGATACAAACTGGGGTGATTCATGCCCCCTGTAGCTAAATCTCTTCTCTGTATGCTATGCACTTTTTTGACCAGCAGTCTAGAGCACGCTACTTTGAGCATTTAGCACAGCAGGTCCATTCAGCCTACTTATATTAAAGCCAAAATGATTAGAGAATTTCAGAAAGCCTGAGACTGGCTTGAAGTAGAATGAAAAAAGCAGTCTTTTAAACTGAATTTGAAAAGGAACGTCTAATTAACTTTATCTGCATTTTCTAGGTAGCCGTATCTCTTGCTAAACGTAAGACTTTAGCATGTTTTCTATGCTTATACGATACAAGGATATAAAACAGCAGTTATTTATTGCTTAGCATTTTCACAGTATTATGTTCAATAGTTTATTCATTGGTTTATTTCAATATTTTATACACAGCAAAAACAAGTCTTATGATTTACAGTAATTAGGAGCACATTTTACTGCAAAAAATTGGATTACATAGTCTGGCTCATTAAATATTATTGTTAAATGTGTTATTAAATACAGATGAACTTTACACCCTGCACTTATCCAGTATTCTGTCCAGGCACAAGAGAAGCAGAGCTTCAAGCTTAAAATCATGAGTTCATTCCATATTCATTTCCTTTTAAAATGCACATATATCATGCTAGAAGATACCTCATACCCCGAAGAAGCTTTTTAAACAACCTGATACATTTCCCCGCAAGGTTCCTACTAGTGTTTCATATTCAATTTGTCATCTCTGCAGTAAGGATCTGTGGAGACAGGTGACAGGCCTATAGGACATTCTGGACATGTTGCTGACTCAGCAGGCCGGGGCGTTGGTGTTGGAGAGCTCAGAGCCAGCATTTGTTCTTAGACGTGTAAAGTGATTTATTGCTGCGCTTACAATGCGGCCCAGAGCAGAGGAAAACAAATGTTAGGCCGCAAAGAGCCCTGAACCCTCTTGAGCTGGGCAGTAGATTAAAGCTGCCAGTCATGTCTCCCACTTTCTTTAGCCAGATGTGCTCTCCAAAACACAGCTGGAATCAGAGATGGAGAAAAACACTGGCAGAAATACAGACGGGGAGATAGTGTGAGTGGCAGTATAGTATAGCTGTCAAAGTGAATGATCAGTTCTTATCTTTAAGACACTGTTGAGGATTGTGGAAGTGATAATCCCAGCAGTGAATTCTCTAACACACTAAAGAAGGCTTCTCAAACTTGTAGAACTGTGAAATCAAGAACCAGCACTAGATAACCTAAATTTGAGTTCCTAGCTTTGCCTTGATTAAACCTGGAACCTTAAAGTGTTCTTGTGTTTGTCACTTATGTTTAAACAGGGCATTTCCAGATCAGAAGGGATTCCAAGTAGAGTCACTTTAGGAAGCTAAGAGCCCTTACATATCCAAAGAATCCATGAGAAACTCATTTTTTCTAAAAGTGTGACAAATTAAAGGAAAATCTGGTGGTTCTATTATGATATAGGGGGCAATTATTTATATCGCTGGCTTGGATTGGGTTCACTTGTTCCCTTTAAGGAAAGAGTCATTGCAAATCAATACAAAGCTCTTCTGACTGGTCACCTTTACCCTATAATGCAACATGTTTTATCCTGGTGGGAGTGGTCTCTTCAAAGATGACTCTGCCCCCATCCACAGGAGATGGCAGCTCACTGAATGGTTTGCTGAGTATAAAATGATGTAAATCATATGCTATGACCTTCGCTGTCACCAGATCTCAACCCAGCTGCATACTTACGGGAGAATTTTGGAGTGCAATGTTAGACAGCACTCTCCACCACCATCAAAACAGCGCTATTCTTTTGGAAGAGTGATTTTCATCCCTCCATCACATTTCAAGAGATTAGTAGAATCAGTGCCAAGAAGCATTGAAGTTGTTATGGTGGCTTGTAGTGGCTCAGCATCTTACTAATATACTTTATGTTGCTTTTTTTCCTTTGTCACCCATCAGTATATACAGTACATCTACCCTGTCCATCATCCACTGCAGAACAGATACTATAGTACGGTGTGTTGCACTGGTACTAATGTATCTAGTTTGTAGTGGTCCTTTGAGGAACCTTTCCACTGATGGATGAGGTAGATACTAGGTGGTAAACTGTACCTTAAGGCAGATGGTCTACAGACCAATATTATATGTCCTCAAAGTGATCAAGACAGTAAGTGAACCTGAAAAAGGGTCTAAGAGTGTAGGTCACTCTTAGGCCCCATTCACACCTGGCATTAACATGGATCCTGGGTGATCTGATCGTAAGTGGACAGGGCTAAGTACAGGTGTGAATGGAGTCAAATGCATCTCAAAGACGCATTATGATCCGATCATCATCCTCCAGTGGAAATGATGTATGAATGGCTATGCTTCTCAGCTGTCTACTTGTGATCGGATCACTCAACACAGATGCTAATACCAGGTGTGGCCTAATGGTTAGCGCATTGGACTTGTAATCCAAAGGTTGTGGGTTTGAGTCTCAGGTCTGGTAGGGACAAAGGTGGAGGGAGTGAATGACCAGCACTCTCTTCCAACCTCAATACCACGACTGAGGCAAGACCCTTGCCCACTGCTCTGGGTGCGTGTGCACTTGTATGGGTTAAATGCAGAGCACAAATTCTGAGTATGGGTCTCCATACTTGGCCACATGTCACAACCTTCACTTTTTGTTAGCTTTTTTTTAGGGTTTGTTAGCTTTTTAAATGCATTCTACTAGATTTAAGAGTCCCTTCAAGACTATCAACAGAAAAAAAAAAAAACTTTATGGCCCTAGATTACACTTTTTCTTCTGAGAATGTATTATTTGAGGAGAAAAACATTAAATCTACATTACAGAATCTTTGGTTGTCCCTCTGGGGGAACCTTTAGAGGTTCAGTGTAAAGTGTTTACCAATGATACATTTTTAACAAGTACTGTAGGGATTTCTATCTAAGAACGTATGTTACAGGAATAGTTGTATTTGTTAAGAAATCTGTTTTTAAGGGTGTTAAAAACAGCTAGGTGGAACCATTTCTTCTAAGTATCTATTATTTGATGCAAAAAAATGTTAAACCTAGAACCCTTGAGGGATCTTGTTTCTCTCAGGGAACCTTTAGATGTTCTGGGCAGGACCCTACAACTGAGTGTTTACCAGAGAGAAAAAGTTTTAAGTAGGTTCTACTAGTAGGTTTTAGGAAGCTAAGAACCCTGAACTATATAAAGATCCACTGGAGCATAGCTTAAAGGGGTATAGCGGACTAGATTAAACTTTTTTCTTCTAAAAGTGCATTATTGGACACTATCAGAAAATATAGATTTTTAAAAAAAACATCTAAGACCATTAAGGTTAAATCTAGAACCTTTAAGGGTTCTTTGTTTGTCCCTCTGGGGAACATTTAGACATTCTATGTAGAAGTGTAGCAGTGTTTACCATTGAGAAAGGGTTGTAAATAGAACCTTTTAGGAAGATAAGCTCCTTTAACCCCTTCTTTTTTTTTCTAAGAGTGTAGCTTACAGGTTTAGAATATGTGTATTTGGAAAGTAATGCTTTAAAAAGGGTGTTTCCTAAAGGAATAATGGTATGTCTGTGGGTTCTAGTTTCCTAAAGAAGTTCTATTTAAAAGCTTTTCTGGAAGTAAAACCCTCCAAGAAGTCCCTGAGAGAGACAAATTAAAGAACCCTATCTGGTGCTAGATGGAACATGTTCTTCCAAAAATTGATGCAAAAAGTATTTTATATTATGACGACGAATGTTGCTTGAACTAAGTAACACTATTTTTTAGATTTAAGAGGAATTTCATATGACTACAGAGACTAGATAAGACAGATTTTTGTGTGTGTTCTAAGAGAAGCTTTATTCACTATGTCCTCCTAACTGATGCACACGGATTCTGCAAGTTATGATGTGAATTGTTGTGAAAATTGCATTGCTTTCTCTCTAATTCGTTTCCGTATTAACTCTGCTTTGAACGCATCAATAATTCACAGTCTCCTGACACATTTAAATGTGTTTCCTTTATTTATAAGGCTATAAATTAAGGGCACATTTCATTAGATAAAGGTATTTTAGTTTAGACCCTGACAGAATGTCAGCTAATGATAATTAATTACCCAGCCAAGACAACATTGATGGTTCTTTGGCTAAGATTGCATTTCCTGAGCTGAAAGGTCCCTGATGAGAAGAGTTCGGTAGAAATGTTTATTGAGTGCAAAGCACAGGCTTGTATTTTAAGAAGCTGCAGAAATAATGTTTTCAAACCTAATCTAAGAAAGCTAGGAAATAATAAGTCAACTTGAAAGAGGTGTTCATGTTCAGCTCCATGGCCCAATCAGACGTATTCCATACAGCCCAGGCTCTCAATCGTGAAAGCGTAGAACTTGGCAATGATGACTGACTGGAAAGCACATGCTGGAGAAAGATAACAAGGCTTCACAAAGGCTTTTCTGGAGGAAAAGAAGCGGGGAATGCTGTCAATTAATATTAATTCAGCAGGAAGGCTGAATTAGCAGAATATTTTTATTTCATTCTTCCTATTTTTCACTTTTCTTACTACTTTGGGCTTCTAGGTTTCTTCGGTCAGCTATACAGCTCAATAAATTGTATCTTTCTGGGTACAAACACTTGTCAATTGTCGTTTGTACCTTTACTTAGAAGACCGAAAGGATGTAGTGTACATTTTAGAATTATTCGCAGTACATAATCGGGACCCTATGGACTGCTGTTGTACCTTCAAGGATACATTCGCATTGCACCTCTGAGAAGAAATGTTCCTTTTTATCTGACAAAATTTGTGCTTCTGACTATATTATCTTTTAAAAAACTTGCAAAATAGCTATTTTCTAGCTACATTTCTAGCATTTTCTCTACTCTGGGATAATTCTCATTAATCATCGTGCAGGCCTGCCATCTGATCTGGACTCATCTGCTACATTTAACGCTACAGTTTGTGATATTTAAATGTGTCCAGACAAAATCATATCATATTTCCAAATGATAAGCATATTTAAAAACATTTATAAACACCTTTACACATCATCATTTGTACATTATTTACTCCTCTATAATTTTTTACATTATGTCTCATTCAGGATAACACCTTGTTAGTGTGTTTTTTATTGTAAAGCCCCGACAGGATGTGCTTTTATAGGAATATAATCAATGACAGAGTGGTGTGATGTTGCCTGATGCGACATGGACTTATTGTTCCCACCCTGAAGTTGATTATATTCCTATAAAAGCACATCCCAATGTGTTTTATTCCTCATATACCACAGCAATTTGCCAGTGCTACCAATGGTTTATTTCTAGAAGTAGACATAGTCTTTTTTATTCGCTTACAGTTACATTTAATGTCACTTACGGTATAGCGGCTATAAATCTTCTGTCCCTCACCAACCTCTCTTTGTCTCTCTTAACGTTAATAAGATAAAATCCACTTAGCAAATCATAAAGTCATCTGTCCCAAAGACTATCCAAAAAGCTTTATATCTGATTGCTACAAAGCTCTGACACTGGAGACTCCTTCCACAATGTTCGTAAATGTCTCCTTACAGAACACTGCACCGTATCAATGGTTACACACTATTTTTTCGCTTTATGTGGAGCATCCTCCATACAAGTCCCTATACCGGAAGAAACTATACCATATTAGAACGAGCATATTATATAAACCTTGCAGCTGGAACAACTGTCAGAGCTGCTGTCATAGAAAATTAATCACAATCAGAAGGCTGTTGTATATGTATAATTGTGGTATAAGTGTAATTGCTGTAGATGTATTCATATTATTATGGACTACTGATATTTTTGCTCTGAGCACAAATTCCGGTTGCCAGTCCTTTCCCCCGGAGGGCTGCGTGGGCACAGGTTTGCTCAAGGGCACAATGACAGTAGCAGAACATTAACAGGATCTTAACAGCACATATTGCACTCATGACCTCATGGACCAAAGGCAAATGTTCTCACTATGTTTCCACCACTTACTCAAAGTGTTCTCTACATTTAGATTCTTTTCTAAATGTGTCCATATATCGAAGAAAATCTTGTAGTAGCAGATTGTTTCCATGGTGTAAACATTTTTATTGCTGGTAAGTAGTACAGGTCTTCCTGTTTACCATTTCGTCTTTTTTTTTTTTTTTCTGTTGAAATGCAAAACATGGTCCCATTTCTGCTATTGTCAGTGTGTAGGCATGTGTTTATATGTCAAGCAGTCCTCCAAAGTAGCAATGCTCTAACGCACCAAACCCTTAATAATAAGAATAGTCTCAATTTCATGCCAGCACAGTTTCTGTGTAAAGACATTTCTAGATGGAAGACATGAGCTGCAAAAACCTTTGCCTCTGAAAGTGGATGCTGTGTTGATGAGTAGTGCAGGATGATCAGGTTTTTCAGCTTTGTGTTACACTGCATAAATAGGTATTATGCAGTCTTTCCAAGGAAGTGCTGTCGTGTAGGTTTCAGCTGTTGTATTTAACCACAGGAAGTGTGTGTGTGTGTTGTGTGTCTGGCTTTGTTCCTCATTCAGTAATGAATAATTGTGTTTTTTGTCCCTCAGGGATGCACCAAAAATTTGTTCAGCTGGATGAGTAATGATGCAGAATATTTTAACATACTGTTTCTGTTGTTTTGCTTCGGTTATTGATAACCTGCTCAAATCAAACATGCAAAGTACAATTGAGTAACCCATAACCAGGGTGTTTTTTTATTGTCATCTATCGCTATACGAATTAAGCATGATTCCTACATTAAAGCTTATTCTTGATATCAGTCACAGTTAGGTCACACAAAGCAACATTTAAGAGAGAAGTGGAGAATAATCAGTAATAAGTCAATAAGTGATGATCTGTAATAAAAGTCAATAAATTTCCAGTCACTCTTTTTTAAATGTCGGAATATGCACAGCAATGATTTTTTGGTGCATCGCTACTTTTAGTAATGTAATATCCTAATCTGAACGTACACAGTCTGGTACTAGACCTAGTCAGAGATGAAGTCTTGTGCAGCGAAGAACCTAGACTTAGCGTGTTTCTCTCTCTCCTTCTTCTTAAGATCCAGTGGCCAGTGGTTCAGGCCTTGGTACAGGGGCCATTGTGGGCATTCTCATTGTGGTTTTCCTCCTGCTGCTCGTCGGCGTGGACGTCACGTGCTACTTCCTCAACAAATGCGGCCTGCTCATGTGCATTGCCGTCAACTTCTGCGGCAAGTCCGGCCCCACCGCCAAGGGAAAGGACATTGAAGAGGGCAAGGCAGCTTTCACGTGAGCACTTCATTTTTATTTTTTTTTGCTTCCCTTCAGTTTTGTGTCAATCTGTGCTACAGGCATTGCGCCATCCATCAGACCTCCACTTTCATTATCATCTCCATCAGCTCCGTAGGAAAACTCGTAACAGGCCTGATTGGAGCTTATCTGACTCTATGAATGAGAATAATGGAAACATGATGGGTTGCTCACACTGTGTTAAGACCAGGGCACCATCATGCAGGTTACAATAAGAATAGTGTGGAGTCTCTA